TTTAAAAAAAAAAAAAAAAAAAAAAAAGAATTACCTTGCTGATTCTGGATCCAAAATCAGGGCTTCTATTGCATGAGATATTAGTAAACAGCTCTGCTGCTGTCTGAATTAATGTCAAGGTTATACATGAAATGAGAAATTCACTACAGATTTTACATTATCTGAATACTGAATGAGTCAAGATGAGGATGGTATTTTTAGTGAAGGCCATCATGTTATCAACTCAATGGTTCATGGGGCACAAAGCTGACCATCAGCACCTGTGCCCAAGATGTGGTGATCACATCAATACCACTGACATGCCCACAGAGCCATGGTTATTGTTTTCTGGGACAGCACTGGTGGCTTTCTCTGCACCCCAGTTCAGCACACACAGACAGGGTAGGGCTCTACTTTCTCCTTTTAATGGCTATATACTGTCTATCATAATAGTGATTCTCAAAGTCTGTTCCAGGAAGGGTACTTCAGAGGCTGTCTACGTGGAAAGGGGGAACCAAGCAACAGGCTCTATGATTTAATCACAGCAACTCTGTTTCTATGTCTTAGGTATGGGGGTTCTTCATAAGAGTTTGAAACAAACAAGCAAACAAACAAAAAAAAAAGGTTTTGCTGATAAAAGTTAAGGAAAAAAACCACCCAAAATCCAATGATCTGTAGAGCCTTCACCCTACAGGTTCCCAAGTTGGGGCTCAAGGTGTCTGTCAACCCTTCTGAAATTGTGTGCAAATTTTGGGTGTGTGCATATATGCATTTTGTAGGGCAGAGGGTCCACAGCATTCATCAGGTTCAGGTTTCCATCAGCAAACCAAAATGCCAAGAATTGCTGATTGGTAAGTCCTACAACTTAAATATGGAGAACTCAGAGAGTGTTTAGGGAACAAAAGTGATGACTAAACTATTAAATAGATCATTAATAAAGGTACTGAGAACTAGGATTGCTGGCCACAAAGAAAAAAAGGTAAAGCGAAACAGAAAATATTTTCTGGTGGAAAAACGTCTTGTGTTGGCCGTTGTAGCTAAAGTAGGCACAAGGTATGCCAATGGTAGAACGCAGACTCTGGATGCTCTTCCTGGAGATGGAGGAAGACCACCATTGAGTTACCACCTTTTTTTTTAAAGCCTAGTTGAAGTTAGAATGTAAAATTACTCGGCACAAGGTATGCCAATGGTAGAACGCAGACTCTGGATGCTCTTCCTGGAGATGGAGGAAGCCCACCATTGACTTACCACCTTTTTTTTTAAAGCCTAGTTGAAGTTAGAATGTAAAATCACTGGCCTAGTTGAAGTTAGAATGTAAAATTACTCTGCTCATACTAGATTTCAAAGAGGAAGTTATTTTAGTAAGTTTGTAGACTTATCTAACATATATTTTGTAGTTAAGCATAACTGAGGTATTTAGTCTATATTTAATAGAATACTTTCAAAGAACAAGAAATTCTGGGGCAAGCTTAGGATACAGTTCTACATTCCTCAAAGTTGCTGAGTCAGCATCAAAAGATGCCTGATAAAGATCCCCATATCGGGAAGCAAGGCTTCGGAATTCTTCCATGGATTGTTTCATCTATAAAGAAGGAAGAATATCAATCACAACAAACAAACATGCTATCATTACTGTATAAACAACACAAAAATCAAAACATAAAAAAACTCATTCCAAAATAATAAAAATTCAAAAAATACTGAACTCTTTTCATTATTTCATTCATTTGCATAAATTTTGTTAAGAAAAACCAACAAATACAGCAAATGAAACTATAAATGTTTACAAGATTATAATAATTTATATATGGCATCTATAAACAAAAAACATTTGCATTTTAGCTTCAAGTTCCACTAAAATAATTAATAGCTATAAACATTCCCAAGTTTCTATAAAATGTATGTCCTTTCTCTTCATATAAACATGTAGTACCCGTTGAGATATCATCAATTACTGTCGTTCTAATAACACATCAGCTTATTTTTGGCAAGACAGATGAATTAGTAAGCTTGACTCTTAATGTCTAAGTCACCACTGATTTTAAATTTCAGAACTTTTCATCTCACAACTAACTTAAAAAAATTCTAAAGTGTAAATAAAAACTGCACTGGAAATAAAGTTAAGACATGCCTGATTGGAGATGCGACCACACCTCTGAAGGTCATTTCCTAAAGTCATGGCAATTGTTGTGGCAATAGCAGGTGGGGGGCTTGTCTTTAGGCTATTGCAAGTACAGATAAGTTGAGAGAAGGCTTGTAGAAGGTCAATCCTGAGTTTTACAAATTCACACTGAAAACTTAAAGGATTCAGTGGTGTACTGGCAGCCTGGGGGAAAAAAGAGATATTTAAGACAAAGTAAGTATAACAGCAAGATGGGGCAGTACCAAGTATTTGTCACAGTTTGTGTACAAGTGCAATAGGTTCTAACACTGAAATTATAAGGAGAATTATGTAATATTAGAAAGAAAAGGTTACTGTCATTAGCATCAGCTCTGAAAAACTGCATGTTCCATCAGTATTCCAAAGGTTCCTTACTTCCTACCTTCACAAAGGCCTCATAACAT